AATCTATTTATGGGCTTAAATCTAATCTAAATGTCTCTTGTAGTTACTTGTATTTTATATTTAATCTTAGCATAATTACAATCTAATAACCAGAACAACTGCTGGTGGGCCAAATCAAATGGCTAGGTGGGCCAATTTTGGCCCGCGGGCCCCACTTTGGGCACCTCTGTTTTACAGGTAAGTTTTATAAAACACAAGCCAGGACAACATGTATGGCATCATTATGCAGCATTTTCCTTTAATGAAAAAAATGTAGTTTTTGAAAATGACAGCAACAAAACAGTAATGAATCAATGAAGGAATTGCTACCTCAGCAAAGATGGACTCTAAATAAACAAGATGTTCCCTGACTGAGGATGCAGTTACTTTGACCGCCAGGGAAAGATACGGGTTCTGTTTCATGACTTTAAGCCACAGCTGTTGAAAAGACGTGATAATACATAGTTTATGGTGGATCTGATAGCTCTGATTTTGGCGACTTTTGGATCTAAGGATTGTTAGTAGAAAATTAAATAGACATAAAACAATCCAGCTTGTATTCCCAGCCACAACATTCTTTAACCTCATTAATTCAAGCAGTTCGGTGACAACCGGATTAGCTGGCTGAACATCCTGCGCCGCTCTGTCCCTGGACTTTGGCAGCAAAAGCCCCAGCCAGATGTTTACTTTAGCCCTATTGATCACCTACCAGTTCGACTAGTCAAATCAGGAAAGAGTGGCGTTTGCCCAACACAAAAACTTTTCCACACGCATCTGAGCAAACACAGCATTCTGCAACCGATGTCTGACACGAGAGACGATAACAAGTGTCAACAGCCCGCTGAGCACAAAATCGAAATCACATTTGTTAATATTTGATAGGGAGCGAGCACGCGGAGTTTACTGAACTGTCTGGAGAACGAGTCGTCTYGCATTGGTCCGTGCCATCTGTGTGTTTCTCTTGACGCAAAAAAAAAAAAAAAAAACAGCAAAGGACAGCAGCAACTCACCTGATGATGTCATGAGGTCCTGGTCAGTAAGGAACGCATATCCTGGAGTCGACCAATCCAGGGAGGAAATCACGAACAAGAGCAGGAGGTTGGAGGAGAGAGACGCGGCCATGATGCTGGAGAAAAACAGTGGGTTGAATTAGAGAGAAAGGCAGAAATATTCAAACTATAAGCTGAAATTCACAGTGACATATCTAAATGAAAGAAGAAGAAACAAAGTCTTCTCTTTGCAGTGGAACCGTGAGCACAAACTGTGGTTGCCATTTATTTTCAGCTGGTGCCCATGAAACCCAATATGAGACAGGAGAATAATTAATTGTCATACTTGTTTACCTCGGCAGCATTTGAAAGTTAAACCTATGAAAGCTGCTTTTTTTCAGGACCTTCTCTTTGAAATTGTACGTATTTAGTTTTAAATTCACACCCTACATTACATCTCTTGGTGCAGGAGAAAAAAAATTCAAATTAGGTCACTATTATGAAACAACTTGGTTCACCAGCTAATATTTTATAATGACCTTTTCTTGAGATGTACTATGATCAAATAAGATTGTGAAATCTGGCTCAGGCTGATTTTTGGATTTCTTGAAAGTAAACACTTATTGAGCAACTCATCCAAAACACATTTTAAGACTTTTTTTTTTCATATTTGAATTCACAAGTCCAATATAAACATAGAAGTATTCTTATGGCAGTTGTAACTAWACGCAACATTCAATTGTATTTAATTTGATACAAATACCCTCAWCTTCACAAGACAAATATTCTGCTTTTTTTGTATTTTAAAGGCTAATGTAAAGCACTTTTATGTCTTTAACTACACATCTGAGTAAATGACGGCACTTCTGTTCCTCTTGTGCATAATGTCCCTAACAGCTAAAAAGACCCTAAAAAAGTTCTGACAGGCCTACAAAAAGCCTAAAGTTAAGGAGTGCATTTATTAAGATTAAATGGACCAATAAGCAGAGTTGCAGCACACGAAGCACTATGTAAAAATCTGCCAAACTCTTCAAGGAATAGAAGGGTGCAGAATACTAAACAGAATTGYGGTACCACTTTACAATGTAAGCACAATAATGATTTGGAAACACATATTTTACATATAATATTGTACTGTATTACTGCATTATATCCACAATTATCAGCCATATTTTAAAGCGTAAGACAGTAGGTAYAGTTTTTATTAATGACTAATGAACATGTATAAATGTCACAAGGGAGCCGTTACAATAATAAACATTTATTATTGATTTATAAAGTGTTTACAGGTGAATTAATAACCTATCTATAAACTATTTATGTCATCTATAATGGGAGCCTTATTGTAAAGTGGTACCCAGAATTTYATCTATTCTGGCAACCATTGAGAGTCAAGTCAGTCCCACCATGATACGTGATACTCGAGACTTTTTTTGGTTTCATGATTCAGCAGCAAAATCTTGCACAAACTGATCAAAAAAAAAGGCCACAGATTGAAATGAGCACAAACAGTAGAAAAAAAACCTTTAACATGCACCACCTCTGTTCCAGGAGGTCTATACAGAACAAAAAAAGGGCACAAATATGTCCTGCTCAATAGGTTGGTGTAGGTGGATGAGACCTACAAGTCAAGTTCAACCTCTAAATATAGGCCAAACCTCCAGTCCACACCCTCAGCTATTTACAGCTGTGTCTCCTCCACCAGTTTGCTGGGCAGCCAACAACCCCAAACGTGGAGGGTTCTGTTCCTGCCAGCACTCTACGGAACTCTCATGTATTCTGAAAATCACAACTTAGCATTAAAATGTAGTTTTCTCCTTTCTCCAAGCGAATCCTGCTTCATTTTGTAGGTTGCATTGCTTTTTTCTGCATTTTATTTTTATATGTTTGAATTTCACTGCACAAATTATGTTGGTTTTGCGGTTAGAAAGGAAGACAGGACAAAATGCATTTCTTATACACTTCACTCAATGTTTAWATGAAATAAATGCGAAATACAAAACAAAACGCCCTGCGAATCAGATTTTTTTTACAGCAAAGTTCTATAGGGCACTGCTTCTTGTGAATGTTCAGTCAGAAGTATGTGTGTATGTGTGTGTGTGTGTGTGTGTGTGTGAATTCCAAGTGTCCAGGGGCCGCACAAGGCAAAGTTATACAATGAAAGAATTCATGGCAGAGGGCTGTCAAGCTGCAGGCTCATCTGGCCTGAAGAGAAGGGTCTGCTCACTTGTTTCACTCATTTTCTGCTCTGGTCAAGCTGATMTTTAATCCTATCACACACCCATCCTTAGCTTTTACAACCTGCTATTAATCAACTTTATCTTAGAGCTGAAGCAGCTCTGTCAATTTAAATTATACTGAAATTACATTTTCCCTCTTCTGCGGTTTCAAGTTGATCACTTTTTTTTATTGCCAAATGCTCTCTTCTGTTATAGTAATGGAGGATCCCGAGTAAAAGGAGGTCAAAGAGTTCCTTCTCTCCAGCATATGGCCTTATGTTAATCCTGGGAAATTGTTTGTGAAAGTCGTGGCAGAGCTCGCGCTTCATATCATTTGTCCCCATTTCTCTGCCAGGATCGGCCAATGAACGGCTCCCAGAGTCACAGGAAGAGCTGCTGGAGCCAATCAGAGGAGAGGGAGGCTCGCTCTAGGTCTCCCGGGTTCCCTTGGTAAACATGTGCAGTCAACCCTCCTCCCTATACCTCTGCCCTAAAACTTGCACACATGCATGCAACATGAGCACATCATTATTCAGCACACACACACACACACGCGCGCACGCACGGACACACACACACACACACACACACACACACACACACACACACACACACACA